TAAGTAGATGTTTTTCTGGAACTCCCTAGCTTTCTCCATGATCCAGCGTATGTTGGCAATTTGATCTCTAGTTCCTCTGCCTCTTCGAAACCCTGCCTGTACTTCTGGTAGTTCTTGGTCCACATACTGCTGGAGCCTAGCTTGTAGGATTTTGAGCATAACTTTGCTAGCATGTGAAATGAGTGCAATGGTGCGGTAGTTTGAACATTCTTTGGCATTGCCCTTCTTTGGAATAGGAATGTAAGCTGACCTTTTCCAAGCCTGTGGCCACTGTTGAGTTTTCCAAGTTTGTTGGCATATTGAGTGTTGCACTTTTACTGCATCGTCTTTTAAGATTTTGAATAGCTGAGCTGGAGCACTGTCACATCCACTAGCTTGGTTGTTGCTCAGACTTCCTAAGGCCCATTTGATTTCACATTCCAGGATGCCTGGCTTGAGGTCAGTGACCACCCCATTGTGGTTATCAGGGGCGTTAAGCTCTTTCTTGTATAGTTCTTCTGTTTAATCTTGCCACCTCTTCTTAATCTCTTCTGCCTCTGTTAGGTCCCTGCATTTTGATCCTTTATCATGCCCATCTTTGCATGAAATGTTCCATTCATATCTCCAATTTTCTTGAAGAGATCTCTGGTCCTCCCTGTTCTGTTGTTTTCTTCTATTTCTTTGCACTGTTCATTGAAGAAGGCATTCTTATCTCTTCTAGCTATTTTCTGGAATTCTGCATTCAATTGGGTGTATCTTTCTCTTTCTCCCTTGCCTTTCGCTTCCCTTTTGCTTTGCTGCATTTCTTTTTCTTTGGGATGGTTTTAGTTGCTACCTCTTGTACAATGTTGCAAACCTCCATCCATAGTTCTTCAGGCACTCTTTCTATCAGGTCTAATTCCTTAAATCTATTAGTCACCTCTACTGTATATTCATCAGGGATATGATTTAGGTCATACCTGAGTGGCCTAGTGCTTTTCCCTACTTTCTTCAATTTAAGCCTAAATTTTGCAACAAGAAGCTCATGATCTGAGCCACAGTTGGCTCCTGGTCTAGTTTTTACTGACTGTATAGAGCTTCTCCATCTTTGGCTGCAGACCACATAGTCAATCTGATTTCTGTGTTGACCATCTGGTGATGTCCATGTGTAGAGTCTCTTGGATTGTTGGAAAAGAGTGTTTGTTATGACCATCGTATTCTCTTGACAAAATTCTACCAGCCTGTGCCCAGCTTCATTTTGTACTCCAAGGCCAAACTTGCCTGTTATTCCGGTTATCTTTTGGCTTCCTGCTTTAGCATTCCAATCCACCAGGATGATAAGGACATCATTTTTGGATGTTAATTCTAGAAGGTGTTGTAGGCCTTCATAGAACCGGTCAACTTCAGCCTCTTCAGCACCAGTGGTTGGGGCATAGACTTGGACTACTGCTATGTTGAATGGTTTGCCTTGGATTCGAACTGAGATCATTCTGTCATTTTGGAGATTGTATGCCAGTACTGCTTTTCCTACTCTTTTATTGACTATGAAGGCTTCTCCATTTCTTCTGAGGGATTCTTGCCCGCAGTAGTATACCTGATGGTCATCTGAATTAAATTCACCCAGTCCTGTCCATTTTAGTTCACTGATTCCTAAGATGTTGATGTCCAGTCTTGTCATCTTTTGTTTGACCACATCCAGCTTGTCCTGATTCATGGATCTTACATTCCAGGTTCCTATGGAGTATAGATCTTTGCAGCATCGGACTCTCCTTTCACCACCAGATACATCTGCAACTGAGTGTCGTTTCGGCTTTGACCCAGTTGCTTCATTCTTTCTGGCGCTACTAGTACCAGCCCTCTGCTCTTCCCCAGTAGCATATTGGACACCTTCCAACCTGAGGGACTCATCTTCGGGCGTCATGTCTTTTTGCCTTTTGGTCCTGTCCATGGGGTTTTCATGGCAAAGAGACTGGAGTGGGTTGCCATTTCCTTCTCCAGTGCATCACATTTTGTCAGAGCTTTCCGCTCTGACCTGCCCGTCTTGGGAGGCCCTGCACGGCATAACTCATAGCTTCATTGAGCTACGCAAGCCCCTTCGCCATGACATGGCAGTGATCCATGAAGGAGAGCAAAAGATACTTCCTGGGAAACTGTGAATTCCAGCGAGGACTATTGAATCATTGTGAAGGTATATAATGTATATTTGGACTAAATGGCCTGTCTACGGTAGCTTACAGCTAAAGGTGAGAGAAAGGAGTGGGGGAGGAATGCCATTTTAAAAGGTGGCTTAACTTGGAAAGCTGTTGCTTTTGAGAAGGAGTACAGGATTGATTCCACAATGCAAAAGCACACAGAAGCCATGTTTTTCTGATAGGATTTATCCAAATTTTCCCAACAGGTCCTGTTCAAGAAATCTGTTCAAAACTTGTGGACTTGAACCTGGGGAAGAGGTACAGCTTGGTCCAGTGCCAAAAAGATGAAAGCATTGGCACCAGCTGACTAGTTTTGAGGAGCACATGACATAAAAGTGAGGCTGCCACAAAAAAGATCCAGAGCCATTCCGACCGGAGGGGCTCATCTTCGGGCGTCATGTCTTTTTGCCTTTTGGTCCTGTCCATGGGGTTTTCATGGCGAAGATACTGGAGTGGGTTGCCATTTCCTTCTCCAGTGCATCACATTTTGTCAGAGCTCTCTGCTAAGACCTGCCTGTCTTGGGTGGCCCTGCACGGCACGCCTCATGGCTTCATTGAGCTACACAAGCCCCTTTGCCACGACAAGGCAGTGATCCATGAAGGAGGTTCGAGGTCTAGGATCAGCTTAATTCACTTTCCATTATTTCTAATGGGGAACATTGATTCAGAGTTCAAACAGCCTCTTAAAATGAGTTAAATCCCAAGTATGAGGCACCACTGAATATGAGGGGGTGTTTATGCCAGGTGTTGTTACAAGGTCTAGTATTTTACTGAAATTGTTTTAGCTGTTTAAATTTTTTTAATATTTTACATGTTAAACATATCTTATGTTTTATGAACTTGTATTTGTGGTTTGTAACTTTTGTGAGCTGCCCAGAGAGCTTTGGCTGTTCACAACAACCAAAGGTTTGAAAATGTTGGAATACCTTGTTGTATGGAAATATAATGGTATCTGGGATTCTAAGATAAACCTCTTTAAATCACCTGTAGAGCAGATGTGTTTTTGGGGAAATAGCCCTGAAGGAAATACAGGGTATAAAAGGGACCCAAAAAGTTGTTGTTCTTTATTTCTTGAGAATATTTTTTCTTCTGCTTCTCAGCCGAAAACGAGCCCCTGAAGTGACATGAATCAGTAAAAGACAGCAGTCCCCACTTGCAGACGTAAAATCTTTAAGAAGGCAACATCCAAGGGAAGAGGAATAGGGAGGGAAGGAAGGAAGGAATTAAAGGCACAATCCTATCTTTATTTTTATTTCAAACTCATATTAGTGTAATACTTTTATTTGACCAACCAAACAATCATAAAGATGAGCACGCTTCTGCGATCTTCAGAATGCGCCATAACGCATGATAGAAGGGGAGGCAGAATAGGAGGGGGAGGGCCTTTTCTATGTTGATTTTGCTTTCTAAAGCTATATCATTTTCCTGAATCCAACCTGTTTTTGGCGTGCTAGCAGAATTCTTGCAGTCTGCAAAGATGACCCTGGGTGTGGAATTTTGCCTTAAGATACAGATTGTCTTGCTGGACCCAGACCAGAGGCAACCCATTCCAGCATTCTTGGAGAGGATGCTGGCAACAGCAAGGTTCATGGGGGATGGAGGGCCATAGCTGCATTCAAGAGCAACCTAGCAGGCAGTGTGGTGTAGTGGTTAAGAGTGTGGGACTGGGGCTCAGGCGATCCAGGTTCTAGTTCCGTTTTCGCCATGGAGCTCACTGGGTGACTTTGGGCCAGACAAAGAGTCTCAGCCCAGCCTGCCTCACTGGGTTGTTGTTGTGCAGAGAAGACTGGGATCAGCAGGGCGAGAATGGTGTGAGCTGCTTTGAGTTTGCTGTAAGAAAAAAAGTGGGATACAAATGCAATAAGTAAATAAATATACTGGGAGAGGTTTCATACAAGCTACAAAATGGAGAGGAGAACTTGTAAGCTGATGGGATCTACATATAGGAACTATGTGGACTGTATGATCTGATTGGGTTTCCCAGTCATCTGATCATCCTGATTGATTCTCCCCTTTCTTCCAGCTGGTGATCGGTGGTTGAGCGAAAACGAGGAACAGAAACCCTTTGCAGAGAGTCCTGAGAAAATGGAGCAACTGCTGGTGTTACTGAAAACGGACAGAGGGAAAGCTATTCTGGGTCAGAGAGAAGCGGATGAGAACCGACACACTCAAAGCTCACACGTTGTGACGCATGAGAGCACCGTCAAAAAGGAGAAATCTTACAAGTGCTGGCAATGCAGCCAGAACTTCAGTAACATCGCAGACCTTCTCACACATGAGAGAACCCACATAGGTGAGAAAATGGGCTACTGGGAGTGGTTTCTTACAACCTGCAGAAAGGAGAGGAGAACTTGTAAGTTGCCTTGAGTTCCTTACTAGCAGAAGAAAGGTGGGATTTAAATGCAATATAATAATAATTTTACCCATCTGAGCTTTACTTAAGAACTTCTGTAGTCAGTCCAGTAATATATTTCAAGTCCACTCTCTTCCCTCCCAGGGCACGAAAGAGCTGCTGATGGACTGAAGGCCATGAGGGTTAGAAGCTGCTCCTTATATATTGTATTCATATTCTACTTGTGCTTGAACAGATCCAGATGGTGTTCTTGGTTCTCCCTTTGCCAATTTTATTGTACGACCACCTAGCGAGGCAGGGCTAGAGAGAGCAGATCCAAGGTCACCTTATAACTGAGTGGGGATTTGAGCTTCATCCCTTTGCTCCTAGTTTTTCACAAGTGGCCTCTCCACTCCTTCAGTCATACAAGACAGGGAATGCATCACTCGACAGAACCGAAAGGGGAAAAGTCCCTCGAGTTCCTGTGGACAACAAGCTAAATATGAGCCAACAATGTGATGAAACCACAGAAAGGGCAAATGTTATTTTGGGATGAATTAATAGAAGTATTACTTCCAAATCATGAGAAGTAGTAAGACTTCACCTGGAATACTGTATCCAGTTCTGTGCACCAAGATGTAAGAAAGATGCAGAAAAATTAGAAAGGGTCCAGTGGAGGGCAACAGAAATGATCCAGGGTTTGGAAACTCTGTCCTGTGAGGAGAGACTGAGAGAACTGGGCATGTTCAATCTTGAGAAGGCTGAGGGGGGACATGATATCCCTCTGGAAGTACCTCAAAGGCTGCCACAGAGAGGAAGGTCAAGATCTCTTCTTGCTGATCCCAGAGTGTAGGACATAAAAGAATCAAGTCAAGCTGCAACAACCCAGATTCAGGCTAGACTGCAGGAAAAGTTTCCTTGCTGTCAGACCAATATGACAGTGGAAGCAGTTACCCAGAGAGGTGGTTGGCTCTCCCATGCTAGAGACATTCAAGGTGAAACTGGACAGCCATCTGAGTGGGACGGTGTGAATTGGTGCCCTGCAACAGCAGGAGGTTGGACCTGATGGTCTTCTTGACCCCGTCCAACTCAACTATTCCATGATAATCCTAGAAACTCCAGCATGGTTGATCTAGGCACCAGTAGGCCCACAGAACGCTTTCTTGCACCCTCAACCCCCTTGTTGTCCAGATCTTATTTCTTAGTGTTGTTTTAATTTTTATTGGTTTAACTGAGAGGCCATAGCTGCACAGCCAAGTGCTGCCTCCTGGCATCATCTTCATTTGGGTTCCAAAGAGCAGTGTTAACATTCCAAATGTGGCCACTGGCTGAAAGAGACTGGGGGGCTCAGGCTCATCGTGCACCCAGGTGCAGGCGCTTCCTGCCACAAGGCTGCTGGTGAAGGGGCAGTGGGGAGCCCCACTTGTTTCTCAGGTGCTTCTCGGGCACACAGTAGAGCTGATGGGATCTACATATAGGAACTATGTGGACTGTATCCTCTGATTGCGTTTCCCAGTCATCTGATCCTGCTTTGATTCTCCCCTTTCTTCCAGCTGCTGATCAGTGGTTGAGCAAAAACGAGGAACAGAAACCCTTCACAGAGAGTCCTGAGAAAACAGAGCAACTGCGGGTGTTACAGAAAACGGACAAAGGGAAAGCTATTCTGCATCAGGGAGAAGCGGATGAGAACCGACACGGTCAAAGCTCACACGTTGTGACGCATGAGAGCACTGTCAGAGAGGAGAAAACTTACAAGTGCTGGCACTGCGGCCAGAGCTTCAGTAGCAGCACAGACCTTCTCACACATGAGAGAACCCACGTAGGTGAGAAAATGTATAAATGTCCCCACTGTGGAGAAAGGGAGAGGATGCGCATGGGACAGAAGCTGAACAAATGCTCACACTGTGGGAACACCTTAGGCTGGAATCCTCGAGGGAGAATCCATGTAGTACAGAAACCTTACACAAGTTCTGAATTTAGAAAAGAGTATATGCAAATATCAGACTTTCTTAATCATCAGAGAATACACGAGCAAAAAAACCCTTATAAATGCTCAAAGTGTGGAGCGAACTTTGATACCTACCTGGGTCTTAAAGCACATCGGAGAACTCACACAAGTGAGAGCCAATATAAATGTTCACACTGTGGAATGTGTTTCAATTGGAGCTCACATTTAAGATTACATGAGCGAATCCACACGGCAGTGTGCTCATATTGCGGGAAAAGTTTCAGCCAGAAATCAGAGCTTGTCGAACATGAGAAGACTCATGCAGCAGAGGGCTCATTTGCATGCCTTACCTGTGGGAAAACTTTTCCAGTCAGTTCAGAACTGGCTGCTCATGTGCGAACTTATGCAGAGAAGTCGTTGAAGTGCTTGGTCTCTGGGAAATCGTTCCAGTGCTCAGAGTGTGGGGATAGCTTCAACCACAACTCGGCACTCACAGTGCACCAGAAAATTCACACAGGTAAGAAATCATAGAAATTCTTGCCTTATAGGAAAAATGTCGGCCGGCATTTGAACTTAACATCCCATAAGAGAATTGACACTGTGAAGTGCTTCTAGTCCAGGAAAAGCTTCAGGCCAAGACTGGAACTTATTGAGTGCAAGCAAACCCATGCAACTGAGGTCCTTTGTGAATTTTGCCCCGTGCAAAACCTCGGTTGTGGAACCAGCGCGGAACTTGTGTGTGAAGCCACACAGAACGGCTGTTCAAATGCTCAGTCTGTGGGGAAAACCTTCAGGAATAGTCTGCAACACTTTGTGCACCAGAAAGACCA